CTCGCGAGCTCACTAAATTGTTCATGAGCCGAGCTCGAGCTTCATTTTAAGGCTCGAATCGAGCTCGAGCTTTTTCAAAATTAAACGAGCTGAGCTCGAGCTTGGTGAGGCTCGGGCTCGGCTCGGCTCATTTACACCCATAGTATCGAAGCTTTTTGTAAGGAGTATCATAAGTATATGGCACAAATTATTTGAACATGCCGCAATGTATTGACATTTGGATCTTAATTTTATAAAAATAAAGGTTAAATATTAAAATACATATTACATTAATTAATAAACTACTAAATAACTAACTAATTCTATTTTTATAGTTTCCAAAAATATAACAAAGTGATTTTTCGCAATAAGTAAAACCTTGTCTAATGTGAAACTCTTCGAGCAGTCGAGAGTAGTATAAGATATCTAGTTTCCGCAACTTTAACTTCCTTTTTAATATTGGTAATTCATTTTTTTCAATTTGTTTTATTACTAGATTATAGTCAGCGTTAAACGCAGGAAACACATAAAAAAACATATAATTGTCTACAGATATTGCATAATGATTATATAAAAAAAAAATATGGTTATTGGTATTATTGAAATGTGTAGAAAATACATTGAAAACGATAAATATCTATAATTATTGAAGGACCTCTTTGTAGACAACATTTTTTGTTTTATTAGTTGAACGACCTTCCTCGTCTCATACAGTTATGATATTGTTATATAGTTATAAACATTTTAATTAGACGTTCCTTTCATAATAATGCTACCTAATTTAAACATATATTGACAACAAATATACCGTTTTTTCCACTCCATTAAATATTGACAACTGTTTCATTTATTCAAATAAAGTCATATAATATAATTTATAGAATGTTAAATGTTATGTGGATTTAATTTTAGTATATCATCAATGAAGATTCTTTTCTAAATCATGATTGGTTTATTTTAAATTGATTATGAATATAAGTACTAGTTTTTATGTTTGTTCTTATTTATTTGGTGTTCGCAAAAACTTTGCATTAGTTTTGGCGCAACNTCTATAAATCAATAACACACATGCATTAATACAAGATCGGACACAAACATACTAAACTATTTTAAGAAAATACAAGATTTTCTTGTGATTAAAAAGTGATACAAATCATTTTCTCAGACATGCTTATGAACTCACCAACATTTTTATGTTGACCTTTTTAAATTGACTTGTATTCTCAGGAAACCGTTGAAGCNTTTACTAATCTTAACGGTCTTATTTTTTTCTAATAATCGTAACGCTTTTACTAATTGTACTTTTTACAAATCTCATAATATCTTATAATTTTTATCTTACGTTAT